AAAAAAAGAAAGAATAAAAATGTACTGACCCCAAACTTTTGAACTGTAGTGAATAGAAATAGAAAAGATTTCTATTTTAAATAAATGCTCTTCTTTTTAACTTTTTATTCATCAAAGAATCCTGAAAAAAAGTATCACAGGTTCCAAAAAAATATGAAGCAGCAAAACAGTTTTTCCAGCACTGATAATAAATCAGCATATTAGAATGATTTCTGAAGATCATGTGACACTTTATACTAGAGTAATGATGCTGAAAATACAGCTTTGATCACAGAAATAAATTACATTTTAACAGAGATTCACAGAGAAAACAGTTATTTTAAATAGTAAAAATATTTCACAATATTACTGCTTTTGCTGTATTTTGGATCAAATAAATGCAGGCTTGGTGAACAGAAGAGACTTCTTTAAAAAACATAAAAAATCGTTCTTATCCCAAACTTTTGACCGTGTGTGTGTGTGTGTGTGTGTGTGTGTGTGTAAAGAGTTTAGGTGCAAAATTATTGAAATGCAGTTATTTTATTTTATTTTATTTTTTTAACCTATTGTCATTATTGATTTTTATCAATTAAAATATGACTAAATAAGATGAAATTAACAAGATGTAGAGGTATAGATAATATATTTGCTATTTTTTATTTTATTTATTATATTAATTTTTATTGTTTCTTTGTTTGTTGAACACAAAGACATTTCGAAGAAACCATGATTACTAAGCTCCAAAGGGACAAAAAAGCACCAGAAAAGTATTTCTAAATATAGTATATTCTACATTTCACTCATAAAGTGTGATGCTGATAATATTTTTTGTTACACAATTTCTAACAAATATGTAACAAAGTAAGCATTTAATTATTTTATTTAATATATCACTGAATATATTTTTCTCTAGTGCTCTCAGACTTTTGAACCCCGCTGTATTTTTACCGAAATTATGATAAATGTCTTAAATGGTGGATGCTTGAATATTTAGGTAAATGGTGAGAAATTATCTTATTTATATGTTATAATATTTGCATAGAACTGTGTATTATTTGACTTATTTATGGCACATTGCAGTAATTCTCTATATTTTGGATGTTTTTGTTTGACAGGGTTTTCCAGAGTCTTGTGAGGATGAAATCGTAAGCGTTCCTGATGCCAAATACACAAAGGGCGAGTTTGAGGTGATGCACTTCTGCATTATGACCTTTCTTTTTAATCTAACCTACTTTTTTTTTTTTTTTTTTTTTTTTTTTTTTTTTTTTTTTTTTTATACAGTATGATGATGCTAGATTTCTCAAATGAAACGGTAAAATTCTCACGCAGTGACTCTCACAGCAGCTCTGGAGATTAAGTTTTTGTGTTCATGCCGTTGTATAGTGAGACGCAGAGGCCGGAAATCACTGCGAGCATCACGTGTGCTTCAGTATTTGTGTGGTAAACAAAACCGCGTTTCCGCCATTCATACATACAGAGGCAAGCGGAACATGCAGGATTCATATTTAAACCGTCTTTTTGCATTTTAATATTCACAGACACTAGTTCATATCGCGATTCGAATTAAGTGGCAGTGGCTACTTTTGATTTATTCG